TTCAGTGCGGTGTAAAGAGGTGGAAAGCAACCCTTTTGTTTTGATTCTATTTCTATCATTTCTCTTCTGAAGTTAGCACGCTAACCAGCTAACCCCAGGCTGGTTGGCCTGTCTTATCACTTTCTGATACCGAGTCTCTGTGGTGTCCAGTCTGCCCTCAGGAGGTAGCACTACTCAGAGGTTATATTATAACCTCTTGTGTTGTAAACACAATGATGGTTGAAGCTCTCAGCAAGACTGATAAGTAAACAGCTGTTAATGCAAATGTTGTCTTTGGAAACAATGGTCAGGTGAAACCAGTACTTTCACAGGTACTTTGGTGGACCCACCCACAAGAGGTTAAATACCTGGGTCCTACTCCATTTTCTTGGTCAGACTAGTGCGGACTAGAGAGACCAATACATGATGAACTGATGAAGCCGCTTGGATAAGAGGCGAAACGTCTTCCACAGACAAATACAAGTCCAGTTGCCTTCAATTTAATTTGAGAGAGAGATAACTATGACCTGGACGAATGAGAACATTCACAGACAGATGGTTTGAAAGGGGAGTCAAGGAAGCCATCTATGTAAAAGTGGAGAGGCCATCGCTAAACAGGGGAGGGGGTCTGCGACACCATCTATCCCCCATCTACAATGTCGCCCTTTCATCGGTACCCAGGAGAGTCAACAACATAACCTCAGACGACTCTCAACGATCGTCATCCACCAGGGGCTCACCTGACCCTAACGACTGTCGTTCACAGGGGACAACAACAGGGTCACCTGACCCCTAACGACGGTCGTCCACATGAGACCACAACAATGGTCAGGTGAAACCAGTACTTTCACAGGTACTTTGGTGGACCCACCCACAAGAGGTTAAATACCTGGGTCCTACTCCATTTTCTTGGTCAGACTAGTGCGGACTAGAGAGACCAATACATGATGAACTGATGAAGCCACTTGGATAAGAGGCGAAACGTCTTCCACAGACAAATACAAGTCCAGTTGCCTTCGATTTAATTTGAGAGAGAGTTGTCTTTGAAGCTACAGAAAATCTTACAAATAGCTCCTTTAAGGACTTGTGAGTGGCCCTTTTCCAAAAGAAAAATTAAGACTGTGTGATACAGTCAAAAGCAATTAAGTAAATGGACCTTTAGTTGAGATTTTTCTTTCAACTGCTACTTCCAAGATCAAAGATGAACTGTAAAAGTACATACTATCTGTGCTTCATTTTTTTCATACAGATTGTTCGTCTCTGTATCAGATCATTTGTGTCTATATGGCTCAGCATTATCTCCTAATCAGTTGCCTGGTTTAGGTCAAGTCCATGTTGTTTGTGCTGAGTAAGAAGCCTATGCCGCCAATCAGGAGGCAGTGATCAAGGTTTTAAAAGGTTTCAGTTATCAGACACTGCACAGTCTCACTTTGTGGCATAGATCAAGATTAACAGATGCCAGCAGCATCTTTTAGTCTTTTTCTGAGAATGATTGCCCAGTGTGTTTTCATTTTGGTGATATAATTCCCTTGAAATACCAAATCAAGATCAATCAAATGAAGTCATACTCAAAGTGTTCTCTGTATCCTATCAGCGTCTCTGGTTTCAAATGTAATACACAAACGTATGCTTGACTACACTGATTGCAAGGTTTCCCCTTTTGTCATTATGTACAGCACCCTGTTACATTGTAACAGCTAAAATCATACTGCCTGCATCATCTCATACTGGTGACTTATTCATGGCTTCTCAAACTCACCAGTGAGCCTCTTTCTCATAACCCCAGCAGCTAGCTAGCTGTCAAGTTGTCATATGTATTTTTAAGGCCAAAGGGAGCTCCAAATTGAATACGTTCCAAACTCAAAGTTATTTCAAATGTAGTGTAAAATATAAGTTATCAGATATTGAGGGGGTGGGAGGGTGGGGTTGGGGGAGTGTCAATAAATGAACCAATGGGCAGTCCATTTGTTCCTCTGTATGCTGCAAAAATAACTATATGCGTCATTGCAACATGACGCAAAATCAAATGTCAGAATTAACGTTAACAAAGCCATAATTCAGTGAAGACCAGCAGTTCTCAGCAAAACCACTTTCTCTTTGCAAATATCAAAATATAGCATTGTCGTCAACTTGGGACCTGATGTAACATTGTCATCTATTTTTGTCAACAAATGCATGAAGTGACTTATGAAAGCAAATACCTCGTCTCTTTTCTGCACAGGCCGCGTTTCATATGCCCACAGATCAGACCAATATTAGCTGTAGTGTAGCCAATTAGCTGCACTTTGGCAGTTACTGAGCGAAACTTCTCAGTTTACCACTTTCTTCAACAACCTGTTCACACAAGGAAATTACTAATCTCATCACGGCATGGTTGTTTGCCTGTGCCACACTGTGATCAAAACTGAGAAACGCAACCAGCAAATTGGTCGAAATCTCGAGACCTGATGGCCCACACGCTCATCCTTTCTGCATTGAGTGTTCACGATGAGCGAAGACTGAAAATCTTATAGCCTATCAGGCAGGGAAGTGAAACTTTGAACTAAACAACTGACTGACCTACAGTGAGACTCAATAAAAGCCACGAGACACCCACTCACAAGGAAGCAGAACTAGAAGGCTGATTGAAACACCTGCTGTCAAATAAAGTTTTCAAACCATGTCAATGTTGGCTTGGTAAACTCAGATTTGTTGATCAGAATGTGTTACTTCATCAGCGTTTAATGAAGTAATAATAATGATATAGTTGCATCGCTTTATTTGGTAACTATCCTGGTCATAAGCTGCGTTTGCTTGTCTTTCACTATCAGTTTTGTTTGGGCTTCAGGTGACACAGTTGGTATGACAGGGACTTTCTACTTTGCCATGTTTTGTGGAAGTATGGTCAGCTGAGATGCAAGTGATTTTTTTATTTTTCTTCCCTTTGGCAATACCTTTGGTTCTTCACTTCCCTGTCTTCACAGAGAGATGTTTTTTCCCCCAGGACATGTCACATGAATGCCTTTTACCTTGGCGGCAATTGTCAGAATATACACTCACTGGGCACTTTATAAGGAACAGCATACGAATTTTGTATAGGCCCTCCCTTTGCACTCAAGACTGAGCGACCAACTTTTTCTTTCTTTGTGACATGAAGCGTTATCATGCTGGAGGAGACTGTGGTATTCAATTATTTGGTTGGTATTGAGGGTCCCAAAGTGGCAAGAAAACACACATTCCCCACACCATTACACCACCAGCAGCAGCCTGGAGTGTTGACACAAAGCAGGTTGGGTCCTGGATTCATGTTGTGGACACCAAATTCTAACCCTAACCCCATCATCTGCTGCCTCAGCAGAAATCCAGGTTCATCAGACCAGTTGATGTTTTTCCAGTCTTCAGCTGACCAGTTTTTGTGAGCCTGTTCCCGCTGCAGCCTCAGTTCTTCTGCTGTTGTAGCTCATTGCTTCAAGGTTTGACGTGTTGCTCATTCTGAGATGCTTTTCTGCTAACCACATTTGTAATGATTTGAAACTCTGCTCTTACCTCTCTCATCAACAAGGCGATTCCATCTGTAGATTTTCTGCTTGCTGGATGTTTTTGTTTTTCACACCATTCTGAGTAAACTCTAGAGTATTGTGTGAAAATCAGAAATAACCAAAGCACCCTGTCTGACACCACCAATCATGCCACAGTCAAAGTCACTGAGATCTCATCCTCTCCCCAGTCTGATGTGTCATGTGAATATTAACTGAAGCATTGCACTGCTGCCACACGATTGGCTGATTGGATAATTGCATGATTAAGCAGGTGTTCATTATAAAGTACTCAGTGAATGAGTGTGTTGATAGTGCAGTATAGTTGTACTTTATGAACCGGTCATACAGTTAAAATTGCCTTTGATGAAACAAACTCAAATCCAATTAATTAATAGTAGCAGCCAGTTAGCTTAACTTAGCATAAATACTGGGAACAGGGGGGGGGAGGCTAGCCTGACGCTGTCCAAAGGTAAATAAAAAAATCAACCGTCTGATAAACCCTTGATATCGTGTTTAATCCATGCAAAAACCGAAGATTCAGTAACTTTGTGAAGTTGTCTGCCTTTAGTCTTTATGCTAAGCTAACCATTTCCTGGCTCCACCTTCATATTTACCATACAGACCTGAGAGTGATATCAATCTTTTCATCTGGCTCTGAGCAAGAAAGGAAACAATACCATTTGCCAACATGCTTCACACTTGTAACTTCAAAATGAACCTTAACAAGTTTCGTCTCCTAGAAATTACGTTTACATTGGAAACATTTGAAACCAGATTAAGTTCTTAATGTACTGATTAAACAGAACGTATTTGCAGGTTTCAGTTAAGTGGTACACTGACAGAATTTCTAGGAGACAGGGTTGCTTAATTTTATGTCAAACAGGAATATTGCTTTTCTAAGAAGTCTGAGGCATATATCATTCATTTTCCCTGAAAATCAAAACCTCATGAAAAGATATTCTTCACACTACACCTATGTGTACAATGAGAATACTGTCACACAGCCTGAGGTCTTGACAGTGATAGATGCTTAAAAAACAGCGGCGCTTACAAGAGCTCATTATTAACCACCTCCTCCAGTTTTGTGCTTCACTCACACCTCATGGTTTCTCGGTTTCATGCATTACTCGTCTAGTGTGAAGCACTCCACCTGTGTACACAAAACGTGTCGAAAATGGGCTTCGCCTTGAAACTTAATCGGCTGTGGAGGGAGTCAGGGTGTATTGTTTTGGCTCAAACGTGATGGCCACGGTTCATTGGGTACAATCTCAAAGTCACAGCTTCCTAGTAAAAAAACAAAAACAAACAAAAAAAACACACTGTTGTTACTGTCCACTAATTTGAAGCAAGCTGCCTTCCAGATTTGATGCTCATTTGGCTGCGGTGCTGATGTTCTGCAAAGAAAGCTGTGTTGTGCTTTCCTTAAAGCGAACATCATGTGATCCTGTGGTTAACGGGGAACCATATAAAGTAAGTGAAGAGGAGGTTGGTTGTTTGAGTTAGCTACACTGCCTTGACACAGAAACGGCACTGTAACCAAGACGGCTATATTTCATCACTTAGAGGGTAAGTGAATTATTACGCTTTAGAATTTTTTACTGTTCTTTTTTTATTTTGCCATTGAGCTTTTTTTCCTTTTTCATTTGTTATATTTATTAATAATTAATCTATGTGACATTTTTGCAAAGTTACAAGGCTTTGATTTATTTGTCTTATATTAATATCCTTTGGTTCTTTGTAGATAACAATGGATTACCCGTCAACAACTTTAATGACCACAGTCCCCGATTATACTGAAAGTGTAAGTATTACTTTGAGATAATTATCTGACATAAGTGTAAAAGAAGGAGAAAGAAGTTTAACTATGCTGATATAATTTTTTTTTTGATCTACTGTATGATTGAGAGGAAGTGACTCTATTGCTATTTAGAATCACAGACAAGAGAAAAAAGTTTCCATGTGTTTATGGCGCAGATTTGAAAGAATACAGTGAAAGAGCACAGTTTTAATATGCCAAATAGTACGGTGCATATTACATAAACTTCTTATTGAATATATTTTATGTCAGTTATTTGTTGTTAAATGTTTCTAATGAATGTGTAAAACAATGTACTTCATGATCCAGGTACATTAGATTTATCTGAGGCAGAGATCTATAGGATATTCAAAATGCCACAGTCGGATTCAAAAGCCGTGTCAGCATCAAATTTTCCACTGTTTGTGAAAACACAAAGCCCCGGCTTCACCTTGCTGTTTATCTCTGCCCTACATCTAAGCCTGATGCAATCTGGGGTACTGAATTCTGCTGCGGGGGCCCCTTTCTGGAGCCCCTCAGGATCGTTTACCCACCTTGGCTTGGATAGCAGCAGGAAGTTTGTGCAGTAGTGTGGTTTCTCTTGCACATAACACCTGCACCTGAGAGCAGTCTTTTTTTTTTTTTTTGCACACTTTGGTTAGCTCGTACATCACAGACAGCGTTTGATGTCATGTCACTATATCCCTGCCAGAAGCATGTTATGTTATGAAACCCTGAAGGCAGTTAAGTTGGGTGAGGACAGAAACACAAAATAAACATTCCTGACATTCATGGAAATGAAAAGTGAGAAAAAGGCAGTGTATCTCTTGCATGCAATCCTCTTTAATACTGCATTGGATAATGTAGTTTTCTATTTTTAAACACAGGACCCTTCTGACTACCCAGACTATGACACAGAGTCAACTGAAAACACAGGCATGTGTGACAGAAAGTGGGTCAGAGATTTTCGTGGGCAGTACGAGCCACCTCTATTCTGGAGCATCTTCATCCTCGGTGCTGTGGGTAACCTGATGGTTGTTTGGATCTACACCACTGTGCGCAACCGTCTGAAGACAATGACCGACGTGTACCTGCTAAACCTGGCTGTGGCTGACCTCCTCTTCCTGTGCATGCTGCCCTTCTGGGCGTTCGATGCTGTCAAGGGCTGGAACTTTGGCAAAAGTCTCTGCAAATCGGTGTCTGCCGTCTACAAGATCAACTTCTTCAGCAGCATGTTCCTGCTCACCTGCATTAGCGTGGACCGCTACATCGCTATCGTACAAGTCACCAAGGCCCACAACCTGAAGGGAAAGAGACTCTTCCACAGTAAACTCGCCTGCCTGGGTGTCTGGTCTGTCTCCACTATCCTGGCTCTCCCTGAGTTTATCTTTGCTCAGGTGAAGCCAGACCAAGGCGGGCAGACCTTCTGTGCTCTGGTCTACTGGAACAACACAAACAACCGGACTAAGATCCTAGTGCTGTCCATGCAGATCTGCATGGGCTTCTGCCTTCCTCTACTAGTCATGTTCTTCTGTTACTCCGTCATCATTCACACACTTCTGCAGGCCAAGAGCTTCAAAAAGCACAAGGCCCTACGCGTCATCTTTGCTGTGGTGTTTGTGTTCATCCTCTCTCAGCTGCCGTACAATAGTCTGCTGATAGTGGAGGCCATGCAGGCTTATAATACCACTATCACAGAATGTGCCACAGTCACTTATTTTGATATAGCTGGACAGATAGCCAGGACCCTGGCCTTTACTCACGCCTGCCTGAACCCATTCCTCTATGTCTTCATCGGAATTCGGTTCAGACAAGACCTCTTTAGAATTGTTAGGATGTGTACTGGTCTGGGCAAAGGAGGGTCCAGTAAAACAAACGTACTTTCCAAACGTCCCTCTGTCATGTCAGACACTGATACCCTCCCTGCCCTTTCCATATAAACACACATTTTCCTCAAGTCCTAAACCTGATAGCTGAGCCTAGTTCTAACTTTTTTTTTTATGTCATCAATGCATTACTTGATAGCAGAGCAACGATAACATGTTGAACTTTGGAAGTAAAGAAGTCTTTGGAGTTTACATTCATTATATTCTTCTCCTGACATTCACAAGCACATTTTTGCTGGAGTTGCTGTATAAATTGTATATTAATGTAAATATTTTACGTATGTTTCATCATGTGTTTGTCGTGTGCTGCTGTAATTGAATTAAAAAAAAATGGTAACAATGGTTTTCAGATACAAAACAAGAATTAAAAATTGAAAAAAAAAAATCAAAAGCGTGTTGCAGTTTTCTTCACTGCTATTCTGTCCACACAGCGCAACAAGCAGGAAAGAGGTGCAACATCTAGTCTTAAGTTTTTACTGATAAATTAATGCAGAATCAGTGATGAGCTCAGCAATTTATGTATGAGTCTGCTATACACGGCAAAGTATTTGAGTGCTTTCACTGGTTTAACGTTCCTGGTGTGGTGGGAAACGCAGTTGTGAATGTGGCTGGTCCAATCCGCAACGCTTTCAATCTGACTAAACGACCTCCTGTTGACAGTCTGTGCCATCGTCTCTGCTGGCGCTCTTAGCTGTTGAACCTTGTCTGTTTGCTTATGAGTTGGCAGTTTCACAGTGGATGTTAATGGGTGCCTGTTCAAACTGGCACAAAAGAGGTTTCCCACACTGGTGTCACAACGGCTGTAGCTCAGACAGGTGGCAGACAGAGAGGCAGACAGACAGACACGTGTCACTGCCTCAAAAAACCTTCCATGTGAAGCCGTAACTTCGAAGCATGGGATTTCAGTCTGCCAACTTCAAACAGCAGCTCTCTGAATGCTCTTTCGCTAGAGCCACACAGTCTGCATGAAAGCCGATGCAAGACCCAACAGAGGAAGAGTTGATCTTACTTCTCCGGTCTGTGCCACCAAAAATTGACTATATCAAAGCCATGCAGGTCCAACTGGTGGGCTGGTGGCCTGCTTTCCATTCCTCTCTGATAGGTGAGGAATGGCAAGTGGGCGATGAAGTCTGTGTTGCATAATCACAGTTTCATGACACCCCCTCCAAAGAGAAACTGCTGGTATCAAAAGCTGATATGAATCTGAAATCAGGGAATGCAGACAGAGATTTGAAAAAGTTTGAGGTTTGCGTCATGGATTGTTCTGTTCATGTTATGTCCACGAACATAACATGAACAACGTGTCATCCCATATTTTCACATTAAAAGATCAAGGAGTTAGTTTAGAGAGTTTAGAAAATGAATTAAAACATCTTGAATAACATCCCTGTCAATATGTTACTGTGTGCCTACAGCGGCATAGAAAAACAAGAGAGAAAAGAGATGGAGAGTGACAAAGAGAGAAACATCAGAAAGTACTTGGTAGCTTCAGCCTCACCCGTAACAAACAAACCTGAGTGTTATTGTGGCCACTGAGGTCGGCTCCAGACATCTGCAGAGTACCTGCTGAGCTCAGGTGAGACCACAGCCACATTCTTTTCTTTTCCTCCTCTCTACATGTCTCTTCTTCTCACGACAGGAAACCATCAGTCAACAACATGTTCCCGTTTAACTGCAGCTCACGAGGCCTCGCTGTGGATGTTCCCAGGGACCTTGGCAGATGTCTTGAATTTGCCTTGACCGGAGATCGCTGACGCTAATATCGCCGCTCATGCACAGCTTCAGTGCATTCTGAATGAGTTTTTTCGTATTCCCGTTTCATATAAAAAAACCTTGCTTTGATTCTTGCTTGTCATCTCAATATAAAACGCATCTTTTTGAGGTTTATATAAAATTCCCCTTTTAAATATAGTGGAGTAGACGTTAGTAGCATAAATTGGAAATACTGGAAGTACCTCAAGTTTGAGTTCCTCAAAGTTCCTCAAAATTGTATTTCAGCAAACAGACTTTGATAAATTCCACCACCATTAGAATCACACATACTTGTAATGCCATTTGTGCATTTATTTTTCTCCTTAACACAAATATGTGGGTGAGTAACAAGCACATCGTAATTTCTATTTTTCCAAGGTAGCTGAACACACAGTGATTCTGTTGCAGGCTGCAGGGAATTTCAACCACAAGGTGGTGTAGCTTGCTCAGCAGATTGAGCCTGTGCTCTGGGTTTCAGTCAACTAGCCCCATCTAGTGGCGGTCTGTGTGAGGCCTTGTCTAGGAGGGTGGTGGTGGTGTGGGTGGTGGGTGTGGCTGGGGGTGGGGGGGGGGGGTCATGAGGGTTGTCTTGTTGTTGCAGAGAGCGGATGCTAATACACAGGCAGACTGATCGTATACTCCATGACTAAAATTCCTTGTTCCTCATTATCCCACAGCTCTGAAGTACCGCAGTAATCACCACCGGGGAAAACAGTAGAAAGTTAAGAAAAAAAAAAAACCTGAGCAGGTCTGAGCTGCGTTGTGAAGAATGTGAAAGACTCACAAGTAGAGCAGCACCTGTGGTTTGGAAACATCCCATTCATCTTTCTGCACAGGGGGAATTGTGTGTGTGTGTGTGTGTGTGTGTGTGTGTGTGTGAGTGCATGAAGGAGATGTGTGAGAGAGAAGAAGAGGGATAGAGGGAAGATAAGGTGGAGTCTATGAGTAATAGTAGAGACAGAGTAAGCATATGTGACCCATTGACACTGACCGGGCTGCAGTCTGCTTTCAGCTGGCCTATGGTCTGGTTCTGGGGACCACAGGAAAGCCTCAGGGACAGTGGCTTATATATCAACAATGACCCACTGGCTTTGAGCACCATTTTATTCCATAACAAGTCACAAATAGCTCATAGTGAAAGTTAGGGGTCTGGCCCATCTGTGAATATGAAACATACTGTGAAGAAAACAGCAAAATAATGCATATAAGAAAAGGGAATGGAAAAGGAAAGCTATCTTTTATCCAGACAAACAGGATCTTCATACCACTCCGCGGCGTAAAAAGAAATGTAATAGAACTTGGACCTCCACAATTCCAGCCCAAACAGGGAGCTTCTTATCATCCGCCATCTCTCCCACAGCTAATATTTCACTTCAGCTCCCGGGCCCACAGAATGAGAGACGTTTCCATTTCATGTCAGTCATTTCCAGGCCTGTGTGTTACCTGTGTGGTGATAAGTGTTTGACTGACTGGGAGTGTCGTTAGTCACTGTCCGGCTCCGAGTGACAGCCGCAGATTGACGCTGATGATGAGAGGAGGAGAGGTGTGTTCAGGGACAACAGAAAACCATGGTTGATGTAGGAGGAGGAGGGTGGGGGGGGCGGGGGGGGGGGGGACATTTACACACATACAATGACAAATACAAAGCCAATGTGCAAACATACCAAGCAACATCAAGGTGGATTAAATGAGAGGGTGTTTTGTCTTTTGTAAGGACCCAATCAAGCGACATGTAGGATCATATACCTTCTTATTCATTGACAGTTCAATATCAGATACTTAATAGGAAAATATAGTAAAATGTGGGATACATAAAATATAGTTTTGTCACCATTTTCCTGGGTGAGATTTAAGTTATTGCATCTGACTTCTAATCAACAGAATATTTTGAGCTGAATCCAGCACTTGAATGAAAGTATTGCCTCTATGTCAAAACCTTTACATGATTTCTCTTGTTGTGCAACACGGAACAAATATTGGTTTACAAACGTTTTTCTTTTTTTTTTCCAAATCAGGATTAATGTGACGGTGACATGTACTTGATTTAATTTGACCTTTTCACTCACTTAGGTTTGCAGCCTCCACACTACAGAAGGTGCAACCGACTCGATGATGATCCTACCAAACACCTGCCACAGCAAGGTTGGTGGATCACCTTTGTTCAGGTAAGTTGGAGTTAATTTTGCCAGTTTACTTTAAGGTTTTATTTTTGTCAATATTGAGTAAGTAAGAATCTGTCTGTTTTTACCTGCAGTTATAGTTGTTGTATTTTCTTCTTCCCTCCAGTGTTTAAATGGTTCGGTCGGCCCTCATGTCCTTCAGTTTGTTGAAAAAAAAAACTCTTGCAGTTCAGTTTCTGCTCAGTTGTGGGTTTCTTTTTTTTTCTATGTTTTAGGGCTCCGTTTAGATAAACCTGCAATGTCTGTTTTTTTCTTTTTTTTTGGCCACTTAGGGGCAGTAGAAACAAGTTTTGAACACAACATTGACCTATCATCTTCTTAGCAAACAGCTGCATATTTCTTCATCCAGCAGTTACAGAGAAACAGTAGCATTTATTTGGAGCTGTGTTTGTCGCCCATCTGGCGAATGAAAGTCCAAGATTCGTTGTCTTTAAGCTCTGCTTTTGGTCTCTACCATCTCCGGAGGAAAATACCTGGCTCTTTAAAATGCTCCATTATGTTCAGCAGCTACTAACCAAGTCTGTCTGCTGTTTGGCTTAAAAGGAACAGACGTATTAGAGACGTATAAGTCTGCTGGGCCGCTGACTAAATCTATAGCTCATAGCTGAAGCTCATTTGCTGACCCCTGACACGGCAGGAGCTGATGATGCAGACGACGGTAAAGAAATGCACTATTTCAGTCTTTCGAAGACAAATCACAACATCTTCTGTTTGCTTTCACCATTAGCCTCACTATGGGCCAACCTGGGGGTAAAAAAAAAAAGGAAATAACATAACACAACAAGGCCAAGAAGTTCAATCTCTGGACATCTCTGGAACATGTTTTCACCCTCACAGTCTCTACTCCCGCTTTTTACCTCCTCTTCCAAAAGCGAGGCAGTAAGCCGTGAGATGGATGGGCTGAGCGTTGCAAGGTTTCCAAAAGCGAACAGAGTCTGACTGCTGCTCTACCTGAGGAGCAAAAACAAAAGAGTCCTCTCTACCTATAGGACTGTGGGAGTCGAGGCTTTGATCTGGACCAGAAAGAGAGAGTAGTTTGATGAAATATTGATGCTTTTTTTTTTTTTAACTGTGTCCTGTGGGAGCTCAGTCTGCTCTCAGGATGTGTGTGCTGATCCACAATACTGCTCCGTGCAATCGCTGGATGAGAATGGACTCGACTACGGAAGGCTCAGGGAGTCTTATTGGTCCTAATGGGTCTAACGATGACCACCCCATTCCAGGCCTGAAGGGGTCGGGGACTTTTTTTTTCTCATTGATCAAAAGAAGACGCACGTTTAATCAGTCGACATCAATGGCAAAATACAAACATAACAGCTGTGTTTTCTGACAACGAAGCCTGTACATGACTGAAATCTTTATGTGGTGTTGGATGGGTTGAATTATTTTTCCCCTTGAAATAAAAGATGCAACAGCTACAAATGT